CCCCCCCCCCCAATATTATGAAAAACAATATCTAGGCCTACTAAGCCTATTTATGCTTGTTTCGTTTGGCTCATCAGTCAGTACCGTATGATCTGATTCCGGGCTACCTGAGGGGTCTGGTGTGGGCTCACGGTTGCAGTTAATGAAGCAGCCGCAGGGCAAATGGATCCAGCGCTTGGACAGTACGAATAGCGGCGTGACGGCAGGCGCGAGCAACGTGAGAAAGAAGCCGAGCGTCTCTAGGGACGAGCTGCGTGCATTGGCGGCGTGGCGCACCAGCATCAGAGTCTGTGAATAAAAGATGCAGAGGAACGTGAGGGGAATCACTCATGTTGTTTATCAGGGCTACATACGTAATGTTGTATTTGATTAACAATCGGCAAATATCAACCATTTGGCCGATTATTGATTATTTTGCGAATAGCCATCAAAAGCGACTATTCGAACAATTATGTTTGAAGGACCATAATCGGCCAGTTTAATCGGTCAGCCAATTAATCGGTCTATTTTATACTGTATATAAAAACTAAGGAAATAGGCTTGGGTAAAAATGATGGTACCCTTCATATTTTGTTGCACAACCTTCTACAATAAAACAATTCCTCTGCAACACCCGATGGGACTCGTTCACCCGTTGACAGGTATTCTCTCCACTCCTTGTGAGCAAACTTTTTGCTGTATCAGGTTTGAATATTTCAGTTTCAGATTCTGACTTTAATAGGATTTAGGCGAGGACTCTTCAGAACTGTCTTCTTTTGCTTGCGGCCATTCTGTTTTTAGCTGTGGACCTCTGATTGCATCCTACACAGATTCAAGATAACCTATGCTGGTTAGAGCACAGCAGCCCCATTTTCGATCAGTAAATATAGAGCTCAGATAACTCTCCAAAAAAAACTTTTGTTTTTGGGGGGGGGGGTTCATTACCAATTGGCATTTTTCTTATTTCAGTATTCATTGGCAAATTCCGCTCATCCATTTTATTTATTTATTTATTGGTGACCTTTGTGGGTTTCTCTTATTTCAATGGAAGGGTCCAATCAACTCGTTTGAATGCTTTGTACTGTTACAGACTGTTGCAGACCTTGAGCTTTAAATTGACTAAATCAAGACCCACGGCACATTTATTCAGCTGTTGCTAGAAAGACTTAATTATCCTCATGCACAGAATCCCTGAACTCACTAATTTTAATATTAATGGCCATCCTGAAGGAATACTTAAGAATAAAAGTGCTGTCTTGTCAAGTACAAAAGGCACTAATTGATATACTGTGTCCTAAGAAGTAAAATATTCTTCCTTGGTCTGTCCTACATCTCTTCAGTTAATTTTGCAGGACCACGTTAATACACAAATGGGCGGACACAGATTCATAAGCAAAAAGGTCACGCCCAAATCATTTGGTAACCACTGTACTTGACTTATAACTTTTGGGGGGGGTATTGGAGGAGGTGCAGGTTTTAGGAGAATGTATCTATCCGTTAATACACAAATGGGCGGACACAGATTCATAAGCAAAAAGGTCACGCCCAAATCATTTGGTAACCACTGTACTTGACTTATAACTTTTGGGGGGGGTATTGGAGGAGGTGCAGGTTTTAGGAGAATGTATCTATCATAAATGTCGTCAAACTGAGTATTTTATCTTATATTTATATTATTTGAGGAAGATGTTATTTTTTTTTAACGCTGCAACTATTTAAGTATACATTTTCTAGACTTATAATACTGCACTTTTTCAAACGTCTTACGATGTAATTATTATTGCATGCACATATTTAACGATGCATTCATTGTTGCTTTACTGCATAATTGATTTCCACTTAACTATGACAGCGGGTGCAAAGGTTAAGTATTTTTTTTCCCCAATTTCACGTTTTGATATTAGGGCCTGCTTGCATCAGGGACAAATGGGGCCGCGACCCTCTGCACCAGCATTGTGGCTGTGGGAGAAACTGTTTGCTTTGTACCACTGAATACTGCAATTGAAAATGCAGTCGTTTTGAAAATCTCTGCAAATGAACATTCACTTGAATTTGTTAAATCGATGCAAGTAACATCAACAAACTCGTCTAGTATACTACCTAAACAGTAAAACTGCAAATTGGTATTAAAAATCCATTCATTTTCTACAAGGCTTGCCGTCATGAAAGTCACAGTTGAGCTTGTGCAGATGTGAAAACCACTAAGCTACTAAAAGCATGTAGTTTGATATCTCATCTTAATTTTTTTTTTTGTTGCTAGAAAGACTTAATTATCCTCATGCACAGAATCCCTGAACTCACTAATTTTAATATTAATGGCCATCCTGAAGGAATACTTAAGAATAAAAGTGCTGTCTTGTCAAGTACAAAAGGCACTAATTGATATACTGTGTCCTAAGAAGTAAAATATTCTTCCTTGGTCTGTCCTACATCTCTTCAGTTAATTTTGCAGGACCACTAAAAGTGCTGTCTTGTCAAGTCCAAAAGGCACTAATTGATATACTGTGTCCAAAGAAGAAAATGTTCTTCCTTGTCCTACATCTCTTCAGTTAATTTTGCAGGACCACGTTAATACACAAATGGGCGGACACAGATTCATAAGCAAAAAGGTCACGCCCAAATCATTTGGTAACCACTGTACTTGACTTGTAACTTTGGGGGGGGGGGGCATTGGAGGAGGGGCAGGTTTTAGGAGAATGTATCTATCATAAATGTCGTCAAACTGAGTATTTTATCTTGTATTTATATTATTTGAGGAAGATGTTATTTCTTTAACGCTGCAACTATTTAAGTATACATTTTCTAGACTTATAATACTGCACTTTTTCAAACGTCTTACGCTGTAATTATTATTGCATGCACACATTTAACTATGCATTCATCGTTGCTTTACTGCATAACTGATTTCCACTTAACTATGACAGCGGGTGCAAAGGTTAAGTATTTTTTTCCCCAATTTCACGTTTTGATATTAGGGCCTGCTTGCATCAGGGACAAATGGGGCCGCGACCCTCTGCACCAGCATTGTGGCTGTGGGAGAAACTGTTTGCTTTGTACCACTGAATACTGCAATTGAAAATGCAGTCGTTTTGAAAATCTCTGCAAATGAACATTCACTTGAATTTGTTAAATCGATGCAAGTAACATCAACAAACTCGTCTAGTATACTACCTAAACAGTAAAACTGCAAATTGGTATTAAAAATCCATTCATTTTCTACAAGGCTTGCCGTCATGAAAGTCACAGTTGAGCTTGTGCAGATGTGAAAACCACTAAGCTACTAGAAGCATGTAGTTTGATATCTCATCTTAATTTTTTTTTTTTATCAAACGAATTAAACCAATATCTCAACCCACCACTGTACAATCAACTGACATTTGTTTGCTAAAGCAAATTCTCATTTACAATGGAAATGTGCATTCAGCATTCTGAATTACATGTTGAAATATGTCGTGTGGTGCGTGTGTTGTTACTCATCATCATTGGCATCCATAAAGTAACCCTGACAACCGCAAGGACCATGGAGAAGCGCTTTTGGGCAAACACCACCGGCGGGTCCCCCGCAGTCGCCGACTTTTGCCGGCAGACGACCCTGGGGCAGCCCCCGGCAGCCTCCTTGCTCTCCTTGAGCTCGCACGTGGTCCCGCACGAACTCGGGCTCAATTCGTTGTAGGTTCCGAAACTTTTGTCCAGGCTGTCCAGAGAGAT